GTCTTTTTGGCCTACGCATGGACAGACGCATTCAAAGCCTGTTCAGCTAATTAGCATTCTTCATGCAACTTTTCCAGCACTGACCAAACTTTGTTGAGTGTACTGTACGTGTGTGTTTCTCCGAGTTGGAGTCGTTTAGTTTCACGCTCTACGGCGTCCAATTTCTGCCCTGCATGCATCTTCTGTGGAAGGCATCTGGGGACAGAGCTGGGAAAGGTCAGCGGGGTTACCTCACATGTGCAGCCAAAGTTAATAATATTACGTGAAACATCAGGAGAAATCGACCTCTCCTATTCATGATTTCTTCCTTTTATAATACTGTTTAATAGCATTTATGTTAAGACGTTTAGCGTAGAGTAGGGTTGCTCGATTATGGAAAAAAATCATAATCTCGATTATTTGGGTCAATAATTGTAATTGCGATTATTAAATGCGATTATTCATTGACTTTGAAAACATCCATTTATTGGAGAAAAACTTTTTTAACAGTATGTTTTTAACAGTTGATTACCCTGAACTTTAAGTATAGTTAAACCCAAAAAAATAATAATAATAAAAAAAAAAAATAATAATAATAATACAAAAATAATCGTTTTATTTCGATTACGTTGTTTTCGTAATCGTTGCAAGCCATAATCGTAATCGCGATTAAAATACGATTAATTGAGCAGCCCTAGCGTAGAGTCAAATTTCAGCCTTCAGGTATAAAGTAAGTATCGAAACGTAGGAATTTCTCATCATGGCTCTCCCACTACCTTTTCCCCCGCTTCCTTTTCCTTACCCCCACTCTGATTATTTTCTACTGTATGCAAAAAAGCAACTCTTCACAAGTGTGAGCTACTTTTCAAAGACTGTGAGTCCTTGGTGTTTTTGGTTTGGGTTGACTGTAACAGAATGCAGGAGCAGGTGGATCATTCCCTCAATCCAAACGGCAGCCATTGTTATTTTTAAAAGAGCAGACATATGTTGGAGAGCTGAACGTGGATCATTTCAAAGGAATGATGAAAGCCCAGTGTTGGATTGTTCAGAAAGAGGCCCCCATGAGCGGATGAGGACGTGGCAGGAAGGGTGGAAAGGAGAAAGAAAGCGCTTTCAAACAACAATCCCCCTCTCTTTCTCCATCTCATTTTACCCTTCTCACTAAACTCTTTATTTTCCCATCCTCTGTTCTCTGTGTTTGTGCTCTGTACGTCCCCGCCTGTTGTTTTGATTTGAATGTGAATGTCGACCAAAGCAGTTTTGGGAATACATTCAAAGAGACATATGTATCTCACTTTTGCTGCAGTGTTTGTTACACTAGATTTAATCGTGCAGTTTTGTCCGTAGTGTCGATGTCGTAGTGTTCTCCTCTGGCTGTTTGCTCGAAATGTATTGTTGGCGATAATTAGCTATCCTTTGAGTTGTGTTTTTATTAACTTTTATTATTATACAGTACATCAGGTAGTTGTATTGAATCATACTAGCATTACTGATTAGATCCACAATGTATTGTTCTTCTTTATAAATTGTAACTTAAATGAAAATAAAGGAAATCCAATTTTCGTATTCTATCCATTTTTACGTTTAACCGCAGCTTGAGCTTGTTGTTCACTAAGCTTGTTTGATCTGTGAATTTGAAAGAAAGAAGCTTTTTGACGTTTTTTTTGAATAGTTTTTTCTATAAAATATGCATATCATTTTAAAAGCAAGGTAAGGAAAGTTTATTTATATAGCACCTTTCAACACAACCCTTTTAAAGCATTATTTAATTTTGTCTGTTTTTTTAGTGTGTTCACTTTGTATTCAATGCACAGCATCAGAAAACCTTGCATTGACTCAAAACGTGTCTCATGCTAGTCAGGTAATATTCATTTGTTCCTGTGGATTTTTAATTGAGCGTGTGGACTGTAAAGTAAAAGTGTGTAAATGAAGTGTCTGTGCGGCAGCTACTCAAAGTCACCCACTATAGTTGACCTCACAATAACCAACAACTTTCCCATGACCCATTGCAGTTGGAGAACTGGATGGGCTGCTGAGTTCCCAGAATTCCCTGATCAGGAAGCTGAAGGATGAGTGCTGCTCGCTGGGAGTCAAACTGGAAGAGCTGACAGAAAACAGCCGGTCAGTATTTTGTCTTTCGGGCTGTTTCCCCTTTGTTTGAACATCCATTTACTCACTTTAGTTTTAGTCAAATGTATTTGCAACATTTCATTTCGAAAAGGACTTGAGCCATGTTATATATTCTGTTGTTGTGTGTGTCCTTCCCCAATGTTTTTAACAACTAACCTGGATACATCTGCAATTTCTATCAATTTTAAACAACAGTCCATTGACTTTTAACCAAGTTTTAAGAAATCTTTCTGAAACATGTTTTGGATCTTTCTCATTTTTAACTACATATTTTGACCTATTAGAATATCTTTTCATTGGACATCTGTTTAACAAGTGAAAAGGCTGAGCAAACGTTATTCAGATTTGACTGATCTGTTCGGTTAGTTTGGAAGAGGAGGACACCTGCAGATAATTCAGCTTCTGGTAAAAGCCACTGGAACAATTAAGAAACCTGTGGAAGCTGAATGATTGTAATGCGTGTAATGAGACTACATCTCCCATGATCCCACGCTACTTCACAGGGTAATCAAAATCTGCATTTGGTCATTGTTTTGATTAAGCCTGTATTTTCCCGTTAATTATTCACTCGCTCGGCCGTTTATCCCTCGTTTCCGTTGGACATCCATGTCATTATTTCATGAGGCATCATCTATCCAGGCTGTTTGGACAGAGCATGTCAACATGTTACACACTGCTCTGCAGTCTGACCTGTTTTCTTGTTAACCTGATGCTACAGTAGTCACAGCAGGCCTGCACAGCTCTCCATCTGGGCTGCCTGTGTGTGTGTCTATGTGTGTGTGAGAGTGACCCTGGGCCCAGTGTCCTGTCAGCTGTTGGAGCTGTGCTGCACATTAGTCACATGACAGCTCCCAATCTGGCCCTGCCAGACCGCACTGTCCTGAGAACCCTGTGTATTTGTTATGAGTGGACATCAATACTAAATACACGAACAAGCAAACAGTAATAACTGCCACCTTGAATGTGTTTTTTACGATAGGAACTTGCATACATGCTGACACACTGGCATGAAGGCTCATAGCCTACATCTGCTGTATGTGTGTGTTCTGTAGTTTAGCAGCAGTGTGGTGTTGGTGTGTTTTGTGCTTCAGGCTGTTTGAGCTCCTGGAGTCCAAGCCCAGTGTAGCGGTTAAAGTCCTGCTGGACGGCCCACTCGGGCTAAGAGAGGTTACAACAAGAGACAGCAAGAGGAGGAAACTACTGACAAATGGTGTTCAGTTGTTAGTCTGACTCTGAGCAGTTATCAGATCACGCTCCTGTGTTTGATGAATGGTAGACTCAAGGTATCCGTTTGCAACTAGTGACCATGAACGTAAGCACTGTTAATTCTCGTGAGACGGCACCCTGCATGCCGGCATGGCTTGTGCGACCGGCAATTCGTACAACGCAGGTACTGGTAGTGCTGAAACCAGTTTATGAGTATCTGAAGGAGTTTTAGAAACAAATCAGTAAAGACTCCAAACTTGAATTTGTCAGATAGCTTTGCAGAACTGTTGTATTGGGCCGCGAAAGTGTAATTGGGAAAATAAATTGTGTTAAGAACAAGTAACTACAGATCTTAAGATTTTAAAGGTCTGAGGAGACAAGGGACTAACCTGTTTAGACTTATCTTGGCTGATTGTTTTGTTATTTATTATTATATCTGTTTTTATTGCATTTACATAATTTCTCTAGATTATGTCTTGATGTTTGTCTTTGTGTGTGCAGAGGGGATCTGGAGCAGCTGGCCCTGGAGAAACAACACCTCGAGGAGTCCGTAAAGAGTCTGAGAGCTCGCTGCGCTGGTATGGAGGATCAGTGTGTGCAGCACGGCCGCATGCACCAGCGCATGAAGCACAGGTACACCGACACACACACACACACACACACACACACACACACACACACACACACACACACACACACACACACACACATACACACCCTTTATTCATCCTATATCTTCATCTGATTCCATTCGGGGTAATGTTTTCTTTTTTAGGTAATGGTTTTGTTGTTTAATTTTAATTAAGCAACTAATTTGTAGAAGTATGAAAAGTTATGTTTTAAAATGTGTTATCTTTTTTCAACCCAAAACCACTGCTGTTGCCGTATTTCAATGAAAAACTTGTATTACGTTTATCTCTGCGTGCCGAATCCAGCAGCAGGCCTTTCAAAAATAAGAAATAATTGAAGCTTTCTTCACAATCTGTCCGTCATGTGCACATCTAATGTTTAGTCCTTACAGAAATAGTTTTGTTTTTGTGTCATCAGCAGTTTTCTCTCCTGCTGTCCGTGCAGAGGCAACATTTTCCAGTTAATCAGAAGGCAGATTTTATACAATGTGCGGAAAATAAATAATATAGTCTAGTTATAGACTCACATGAATGTCTTCTGATGGTCCGCAGAAAACAGTTAGGGCACTCATGTTTCCCAAAAGTCATCTGATCAACAAGTATAAGACAAAAGGCGGATATTAGTTACTTATATATCGGATTAATGATTGATTTCTGCAATAACTCAGGTGACTGGGACATCAGAAAGACTACCTGATTGGGTTGTGAACTGCAAACCGATTAGTTCATGTTGTCTTTGTAGCTCGATCAACAGCATCATCACAGCTGAGTTGGTCCTTTTTTAAGACTTGATAAATGAACAGTCTGACTTCACGCTTTTTGCACTAGTTCCTGCTATTTTCTGATATTGTTTAGCACTTTGAGGACAATCTATCAATAGTTACATCTTTTCGTAAAAAGCATTCGGTTTGATGCCCTGAGTAAAGCAGAAATACAATATTCCTAATGACTGGTATATGGCTAATGAGAATATTCCTGTTTAAAGGCAGCCGTGTGTCCTGCAGCTAGGCCGTTTGAATGATGTGAAAGTACTTCCTCTTTTACATGCATTCATGATGCTGTGGCGTAACCTCGTTTTCACTGTTCACTGTTCGGACCGTATTTATCGGGCTATTCTTCTTGAATGGTTGTTCACAAGAATTAACCCCGATGCAAGAGGCTGTGTGCTGCGATCTAAAGTAAAAACCCCAATGAGACACATGTTCTAAAAGCGCTGTCCGTCCAACAACCCCTCCTAAAACACAAAAATACTGGAGTCTTCTCATGTCGCAGTTGGAAAAAGCTACTTTCAGAGTAAGTTCTTATTTTGATTATTGATATGATTATACTGTTTACACAACTCTGATCTAATCCTGAAGATTACAATATTATGAATGGTTTATTGGTCTGTATGTAAGCATTGTCAGTTACAGGCTTTTCGTGGATATAGGGAGAGATTCCGGAGATATTTACTTTGAGCTATAAGTGACTCCATCTTTGGCTTATGCTACAGTTTCTGTGCGTGTATGTGATGCGGGGGTCTCTTCCCCTCTAAGGTGTGGAGCCCAGTTGGTGTGTGTCTCCACAGGGCGCCTGGCATTCAGCCTGGCTCTCCCATTGTAGGCGAGTGTGTGCGGGTGTTGTTGCCCCACTCTGCAGGATCTCTACTCCAGAGCTCCGCCACCACCCAACTCCACCTTTCTTCTTACACAAAACACACACACCCTTTTCCTCCTGCTCCATCCCTGACACTACATATTGTCTACCACCCACCGGTGTTAACCTGTCGACAGTGAGACGCTGCCAAAAAACAAAGTTTACCGAGTCACAGCTGTCTCCTGCCTGTGTGCGACTCTTTTTGTGTGTTTCATAGATAGAAAAACAATCTAAGTTGTCAAGAAGTGTGAAGTATGAATATTCTGTATGTTTCCGCGCATATGTTGTGGTGGTATTTTAATGTGTGTGTGTGTGTATGGGTTGCTATTGCATGTTCTCAGGAGGTTTAGCAGAGTAGGAATCTGGCTGCCAAAAGTGGATTGGCTGGGAAGTTGGCACCTAACTTCTCTCTTCTCCCAACTGAACCACGATAATCACTCTTGGCATTTATTGAGTTTTATTTTCTGCTTTGACACTCGCTTGGTTGATGAATCCTCCTGATATTTAGAACTCTCTAGAGTTCAGCTCTACATGAGGTCACTTTATGCAGTGACTAAAAAGCCGCTTGACCACAATTTCTGGTGTATGTTTTGGGAATGTATTTATTAGATTTGAGCCGTAATTAGATGTATTTTTCCCGTTTATTATACATTTTATTGTATAGGAAAGAGACAGGAAGGAGTTATGACTCACGTTTACGATGATCCACACCGCAGCTGGTACTCAGTAAATGATTGTATTTATGGTACTGATCGTACTCCGGGGGCAAAACTTGAAAACATGCCACAAATATATTTTTAACACATCGCTTTTAGCTTAAACAAAAAAACAGATCGCCAGTATTTATCAGGGCCTGATGGCAGTCATATCTTGCAATGATGTCTGAATTAAGCCGTGGAGGCAGGGGTGCACAGGCAGTTGTACTTCAGTCCCTCTACATGGTGCTGATGTCAAACTGAATAGCATACATGCACTTGTTATCTTCAGTATGTCTCGTCCATACATCGATATACCATCGTGGGTCCCTGCAGGCCCCGAGCGTTCGGTGGCGCCCCGCCGCGCCGCTCGGGGGTTAAGGTGTACGTGTTAACAAGCTGGTGCAAGTGGGTTCAATATCCAGCGCCCCGCCCTCCTCACAGCCCCTCCATCGGCCTGCAATCTGTGCTGCGAAGAGCGGCAACAGCGCACCACGCACAAAACATTTGGAAAATCAGCTTGATTTATTTTTACATGGGCAAGCTGATTGCCAAGCTACACAGGGGTTTTAGCACACAATGTTTTGCTGCACCACTTAATTATTTATTTTGGGATGTCGGATGGTGTTGTTTTTGTTTTTTTGCCCGGAAATAGAGCGGAGGGTGGAGGGATGGAGTTAGGGAAGATCTGAAGCCAGTTACTGTTAATGATTCATTTTGATATCATGCTTTTTTATATAAGTAATCATATTATTAAATGTTACATTTACATTTTACATGAAACTTGGAAAGTTTTCAAGCCCAGTTTTTTTCATTTTTTCATTTCAGTTCTTAAACTCATCTTCAGCTTTTTTCTTCAGATTCTGTATTTGATCTGTGACATTTTTACTTAGTTATAATCCAAATTTCTTGTGCCTTTTTTCAAGCATATCCAAAGAAAATAATTATGGCTGATTTAAAATATTTCATCGCGATTCATCAAATGATAATCCATAGTTGATTGTAAATGTATCTCACACATTTGTATCAATACAAAATGATACATAAAAGGAGATTTTTCAACTATTTTATAACCTTATCAACATGGAATTGGACAAATATGCTCGCTTTGTGCAAATGTATGTTTATTTATTATTGGACATTTCTTAAAAACATTAAGAAACTCTGTCCAGGTCGAAAATACTGTTAGGGAGCTTCATAACACAGCATCGAAATGTAATTTTTTTCTCGTACATTTTTACAGACCTAAAAATATATCATCTCTTTCACCTTGATTCTCAGTGAGGTCAGAATTAATTCGTTAAAACAAATAGAATACATTTCATAATCCCCATCAACCAAATCACAGATTCAAAATGTTGGCCGATGGATGCGTGTTTTTTTTTACAAGTCATTAAAGCTTGAGATCTTTAAATCATAACGTACAAGATCTGTTCCAGAATGATGATTCGACTGGGCGTTTCCCCCAGGGGTGAATTAGAAATCACAAAAGCAAAAGATCACGTACCGATCAATGGACATGTGAGATCTTGCTAAGAACTGTGAAAAACAGCCGAATGATGGATGATGAAGTATTTCAGTTTTACAGCTCTGAAAATATTTCCGACTTTTGCAGCTTTTTAAACTTTCTCTCCTCTCCTCACCTCGCCCTCTTCTCTCCTTTCACTTCCTTTTCCTCTTCTCTTACTCTCCAACTTTCCTCCTCTCCTCCTTCTCCTCCTCCCCTCCGCTTTCTCCACGAAACACCACGCAACCTTTTCTCACCCCACAGCTGCTCGCAGGCTGTTTCACCAATTATCACTATGCATGTACACACTGAGGTCACACACACACACACACACACACACACACACACACACACACACACACACACACACACACACACACACACACACACACACACACACACACACAAACACACACACACACACACACAC